CTTGCATTACGCGCGTGGTACATAAAATATCTAACAAGTTCTCCTTCCTGAAGTAATTATCTATTAGAGATAATTAGCGCGCGAATGTGACGGAAAGTGTTTTATGGTTAGTACGCGAATGTCAAAGAAAGTAGTTAAATGTTACAGAAAGTACTAAAAAATTGCAGAAAGTACTCGAGTGTTACAGAAAGTACTCGAATTTTACAGAAAGTACTCGAATGTTACAGAATGTACTCGAATGTTACCAGAGGCGTAGCGAGGGGGGACATATGTCCCCGGGCGCCGACCTTAGGGGGCGCCAAAATGGGTTGGAAAAACAAATTGAAAGTTTGAGGGGAGTGCAAATCAAAAGTTTGGGGGGGGGGGGGGGTGCAAATCGAAAGTTTGCGCCGGGAAGGGTCGCTACGCCTCTGAATGTTACAGAAAGTACATACATGTTATAGAAAAAGCCTGTTCATACGTTGCAGAAAACTAACTACAGAAATGTTTAAATGCTACTAATAGTTGAATGTTGCAGAGAGTACTTAGATGTTACAAAAAGTATATTAATGTCCCCGGAAGTGTGAGGGTGTTCTTGAGAGCCTGTAGTTACATGCATTACCGTAAAAGTCAACGTTTATGTTTACAAGTAAACAACTTCTTTTTCCATGTCCCTACTGTACACTTTGTAGCTGACTGAGAAATGGGTTTAACTATATCATCAAAAAGTACCCAGAAACTGTCATTTGAGTTTTTAAAAATGTATTGACACTAAAATAATTGAAACAGCCCAAATACATTTTTAGTAGAATGTGCCTAAAATTAGATATATTATATCGATAGCTGATTAGTTTGCTAAGATAATTGTCGTTATTGCCGCAAACAAGTTTTATATAAAGGGGGTTATGAATGTAATGTACCCTTTCAGGTTGTTCCAAAAATTGCTGAAGTTTTTTTTTTAACACAACAGAAGAAGGGGGTGTAACCTATAGCCTGGCCAGCACTGTCCCCGCCCCTTACACTTCCCCCTACCTATAATTCAATGTAGACACCACTGTATGATTTCACATAGACTCATGTTGATCGTATTCAAGCGTTCAGAATATAAGACCGTGTGCTCTACTACTTGACCCCACTATCAACGTTTTGTAGCACCCAGCTTTCTAAAACAACAACAAAATACAAACTCCGAATGAGCGATTTGTCGAACCGATTCCTTTTTAAATTTAACCCTTGCTTGTCTGCAGATTTAGCTATTTGCATATACAAACACGTGTCTTAATCTGGCTTTTGTTTGCTTAAAATTACTCGTGTTTTCGTTCACGCACTACTTTCTTCCAACAGCGACAACAGTACCATAGACGCCTTGGCCTTGCACCGACAAGTCCAAAGTAAATTGTTTTCTTTGTCCTTAAAAAACTGGGGTCTAGCCCGGGAACAAGTTATACAAGAGTGTTGTCCCTTGCCGCGTGCCCGCACCAAGTTGACACTAGCCGGCCGGCAGACGATCATTAGCGATCCCTACAGCAAACAAATCTCATCCCACTTCTCTCCCTCCTGCTACAATCCTCTCACTCCGGCCCAATCTCAACCCGTCGTCTGCATTGTATAGGGAGCAGGCGACAGGTATTACGGGAAATGTTTGAAAAAATTCCACTTTATTTTACTTATTTTGTTTATTTTTTTTCTCAAGCAATTTCAAGATCAAGTGTGATCGAACGGGAATAAAGTACGCTCTGTCATGCAGACAAGAGAAAATATGATCAGGACGCTGACATCCATTGTTTTCACAACTTGACACAATGCATGGGCGTGCTTCCGGCTACTGGCGCGCAGTGCTTCTCTCGCTGGTCATGTGCAATCTGCTTCTGTGCAGTGGATCTGTCAAACACCTGCAAAGTTGTCATGTCGCCCAGCTGCAGTGTCATTCAAGAAGCGGGTGTCACATGGCACTCAATAACTTCTTTATTAACTGCCATTCTGTTATCAAAGGCGAGCAGGCTAACAAGTGCCCCATAGATTGCAAGCACGCGCTTGTATCACTGCTGTCCACAGAAGACGAGGCAGGCTTGGCTTTCATCAACTGTGACTGCAACAAAGGTGGCCTGTGTTCGGAGCGCAAGGAGCGAGTCAAAGTCTGCCAGCGGGAGGTCCTGGACTCTATGCATGTTCTGAGGGAAGATTCACTTCCGGTTTCCTGCAACCTTGCACGATGGATCTGCGAGGCCGACACCTCATGCCTGACAGCCCTGCAGTATTACTATGACCATTGTTCTCGGCTGTTCAGCGGGTTGAAGTGCACGCCCAAATGCCGGAATAGCCTGGAGATCTTATCTCGCCAGCCCCATGCCCGAAAACTGCGCTCCTGCACGTGCGATGGGAGTGAAGATTACAACTGTCAGGCGCTCAAACTAAACACCGAAACGATGTGTTTTCATTCAAAACAAAAGACAAAAGCAGACGCCAACTCGGTACTGGACTCGGATAATATTTCTAAAGATTTGGACGAGCATCTAACCAAGAAAAAGTTATCCGGTGAGTTCATTTGACAACTTTAACATTTAGGGACTTGTTTTTAACACAATTATTAAAACAGACTATTCAAATACTATTGTGTCGTTAGTAACACAGTACTAACAGAGTTTATAGTTAGGGCTGATGTGGACATTTGCTAGTAATATCAGTTTTCATTTCTCTACAGACAAAATATTGATTTTTCTACATTTCATTTTCTTTTGTATAGCTGTCAACATTTTCAGAAATCAGTAAGCTTAATTAAAAGTTGGGTAGGTGGGGGGAGGGGGGGGGAGGGGGGAATGTCTACTACACTCAATTTAATTAGTATTTTTTAAATATAAAAAAAAAAATGATGAAAGAAAGGGAAAGTCATTTAGTGGATAAGTTGGAGCGTTGTGACTTGTGACATAATTTTAGGCTAGTCTAGGTTTTTGTGACGACGTGTGACGTTACGGGATGGGGAAAATACTAAAATGACGTGACGCTGTTCATAAACAGCACTGCGGGGAAAAAAAATAGGTTCTGAAGGATACAGGGGGGGATAGTGCCCCATCTAGCTCACTACGCACACAAAAAAGAAAGAGTAACCACTTTGTTAGATTATAGTGTTGATGTTTTTGTTGAATGTTTATTTCATTATCAGATGGCTGAACACTAATTTCGTTCAGATCAAAGAAAGGCCAGAGCTCCTGAAATGGAGACGGTCGGTTCACATTTACATATCAAAGTCTTGATAAACACCGGTTCACACTTTTTCTCTCCCCTCAACAGAACGTGAAAAGATGAGATCAAAGCGGAGAAAGAGAAGAAATCGCGCTCTAAAAAACATGAAGAAAGCGCAACGCGAGAAGAGACGTCAACAAAAGAAGCTAAAACAGGAAAAGAAAAAAATGGCAGGGGTGAGTCCGACTCCTAGAACAGCCAAGAAATCCTAAGTACAAGTAACAGCACGTGCTACTTCGGCGAAACAATTCGGTGTTTTGAATATGCATGAGGTTTAGTGTAAACAAATACATGTCAAGTGATGCCAACGTTAATTCAATTGTCAACTTTTTGTCTGTCGTTAATCTGCTATTCTAAGCACAGTCAATATACTGGCAGACAGCGCACTGACAGAGAGCAGTGTCGAAACACAATACAAATATAGTTTACATATTGGTTATTTAACTTGATGTAGCGGTTTATTTTTGTGTAGAGCACGTTTTCATTCTTGCAGCCTCGTGAAAATGGGATGGCATTAATTCTGCACACAGTGTCGTATATGGTAAACGGGTACATGTGGCATAAACTTACATGCTTGACTGTAAGCTCATGTTCTGCACGAACAACCAGCATAATACAAGGAATGCAGGAGTGATGAGCAAGGCCAGAGTCGCCAGGATACTATAGTGGTCAAACAGTCTACCTCACAAAAACTGTTGTTTTATCAATAGATGGAGGGTGACTCGTATATAGGGAAAAAAAACAGTTGATGGTTTTAAGTTGGGAGAAACCTGTATAGTATCCCATAATTCTGTCGTCTCGTTTGTTTGTAAATCATGTTAGCTCAGTGTGTTTTAAATGCCGACATACCTGCTTGGTTCTAAAGACTTTGTTTAGTGGCATTAAATAGCTTAGTATTTATTATAAAAAATGGCGTTTCTGTTTGTTCGAAAAAAAATCAGCTCTGCTGTAACTTGATGGAAGGGTAGACAACTCTCCTGGTCACATCGTGTGTTGAAACTGTCAAGTCTACAATACAAACATTCTTTAATTTTAGAAGACACTAAAAACAAGGGAAATCACCCGTGTAGTCTGGTGTTTGAGAAAACCAGGTCTACATTGTAGACTTTACAATTATAATGTAAATTACATTACTCTACAACATATTCTTAGAGCTTAGAAGATTTCATCGTACAAAAGGGAAATTACTCGTACAGTAAACATTGGAAGTTTCGGTTTTCTTACTTGGCCATGACGCAGTGAAAAATATGTCAGCAACATCTGACAGATAGACTCATTGAACAGTACATACATTTCGCCGAGTGGAACAGTGATACCAACCCAACAATGTTCAACTTCAGTATGGAACGTGGCTGTGTTTTTATTTGTCTATATTTTTTTTTAAACTCTACATTATAGACAAAAAAATAAAATAAAATCAAAACATAATAATATGAATCGAATGTTTTCAGGAATAAATGTTGTACATTTTATGCCTTGTTTCCTTAATTGACTTAATTCTAGCATGCAGCTGTTGTTTTAGTGAACAAGTTTACATCGTATGGAAGGGGAAGGGGGGGGGGGGGGGAAGGCAAACGGCAAACACTTCCTGTATATTTTAAAATAACGGGCTTTCAGTTTCAAAGATTGGTTTGGGAAGAGGGAGTCAAAGTCAATTTAAAAAAAAAAAAGACCATTACAATATAATGTTGCTTAAAGTTTGCTAAAAGATGGTGAGAATGATGGTTTAATCCATTAATTTGATAGGCGCACATTTGTATAAGGAACCAAATCAATGTCATTTCCGTTACAGATGTTACTATCTTCTATGTGGATTGACTTGTACAGTAAGGTAGAATAAGGTCACGTGACTAGTCCTCATCTACAGTCAAATATTTGTCCTACGGCCCGTAAGTCCTTGGTCTTTGACATCATTTCACTTCTCTCTATCCGGCCAGCCGTCGTGTGTGCTTGTCGAGAATGGGAAGAAAAAAAAAACGAAAAAAAAAAGACAGTTTGAAGAGCATCAGATTTCTAGATAGCTTTGGGACAGCGTGGAGAGGAACCGCCTCCCTTTTTGTGAGGCATTGACATGAGAAAGTAATAAAACTGATTCAGTAGTGGGCCTGGCTGGAGAGTTCAGATCGGTCAATTCGGTTTGATTGTCTTCTGGTCGTTCGCAGACGTTTTTATAGTGGCGGGAGATTTAAGGTGAGGGGGAGGGGTTGGGCTAAGGCGAGTCTGTATTGACTTTATAGCAGTGCCCAGTTATCTTTTCTAATCCCCGGCCCATTGAAGTTTTTCCTAAAGCTCGGCGGCGTCCTAAATATAGGGCATATATATATATATATATATATATATATATATATATATATATATATATATATATATATATATATATATATATATCTATATATATATATATATATATGAATGTGTGTGTGTGTAAAGAAAAGCATCTATTCAACACATCATTTGAAAGGCACTTAATGAATTATTATTTTCTGGAAATTAACTGCCACTCTTTAAAATTAGAAGACCTCCCCCCACCCTCGCATGATACTCCCACCCCCCACCCTGCATGATCTCCCCCTCCCCCCATGACTCCTCCACTAAGCGCCCATGTAGTCAACCTGTGTACACGTTAACGTGTACGTGGTGGTCACCGTTTACACACGCCTGCTGCCCAAGTTTACACTCGTGAGTTGTCGCAGTTTACACATGAAAGTTTGGTTCGCCTAGAACAGTTAACACAGTGTGTTATTAAAAACATGGAACATTTCCTTCAGAGAGGAGGGTGCAGACATTTTTTTTTTCGTTTCTATCAAGCTGAAGTTAACCGTGTGTAATCAAAATAAATACAAAACCGAATACATACATTTTTAAAATTGTAACATTATAATAAAATAGAATAGGATATATAATATAGTATATTTAAGTATATTGAAATTATTGAATTCTCATCAAACTATACTAATCCTAATACATCACCCAAATTTTGCTAAATAGCAAGACTTGAAAAATACATATTACATTTCAGCTGTGAAAATAACATGCACAAAAGAATCTTTATAAATATATATATTTATTAAAAAGCAATATTAATGAAAACTCTTAACCAAATTGACAACACTTTTAAACTTTGCTGGGAAAAACAAAGCCAAATCCAAAATTATTTAACCGTACACTCCTAACAAAATACCTTGCCAGTGAAGAGTAGCATTTAGAAGTTAAAACTTTTACACCAGGATGAAAAGTGACACGCCAAAAAAAAAAAAAAGAGTAGGAGGTAGGTAAGTGTTAGATTAAACACACTCTAATTACATTCTTTGACAAGGTTTTCTAATTCAGCACACATTATCTCCGTGACTCATCACTTCGCCATTTCTCATAGCTTCGGACAAGATCTAGGTAAAATTTCAATGCTCTGTGGATTTCGCCTGATTATAAACATGATGACAAATATCCTACAGTATAGAAAAAGCAGACAATAATTGCAACGGTTCACTTCTTCCAATAAAAGTATACCCGTAAAAATATTTTAAACGTATTTTTTTTTTACTATTATTAAAAAAAAATGTACCGCATTAAAATCTTTCAACGGCTTAACACAAACTATCAATCATAGCCACGATTGTTATTCTCACATGAAAAAAACCCACTAAACACTCCCTAGCAAACCGCAACGTATTTTTTTATAGTAAACGTGACAAAACTTAATGACATAATTTTCCGCCAAATTATTATATTAATTAATTGGCGAAACTATATAAAAAAACATAAACAAGGAATTCAAATCTACAACAAACGACTGTGCGCAAGCCTGTAGATTGTAGATGGAAAGATGCGCAAGGGCGAGAAGCAGGAATTTATGACCTCCGTCTTGATCAGATTCTATCACTTGTACAACGTATGGGTAGTTTAATAGAGCAGTCGAACCGAGGGCCAATGGCGGCCGTGTTTACTCTGCTTGATCGTACCTCGGCTCATGAATGCAACATTTCTGCACAACATGTCACAAAAGTGAAAAGCAATAAAAAAAGAAAAGAGCAGTCCCGATTGGCCGCGTGCACCTGTAAACCGTCGTAAAGTTCAGTAATGAAAGCCGCATCTAGCGTTAGTTAAATGGTTGGAAAGTAATAACCCATAGACGGAGAAAAAGTAACGCGCATTTGCTGGAGAAAAGTTATTTCAGTGTTAGAATGTTAACTGGCGACAGTAGAATGTGGAGCAATGGTGTGTATCTGTGGGGAAGGTGTGTGTGTGTGTGTGTGGTGGGGGTGTTGGAAACGTTTTACAAGGGAGTGTTCTAACACATTTCTTTAAGCAGGTAGAGATGTGTTGACACCGTTCACGTATTTTATTATTGAATGAAGTTTTGTTTTGGTCTCTGACGAAGATCAAGGCCGGCATCAGTCCCTCCCACCAGCTTGTGTAAGCTGATGCAGTCATGAATCATGTGTAATCTGATGCAGTCATGAATCATGTGTAAGCTGAGTATTAAAGACCAGGTCTATAAAACTAAATTTTTGCCACCTCCCACTGTCCCTGTTGCCTCTCAACGTTGGCAGTTAATTGCTGCTCTGGCTTATGTCTATCGAGTTATTTTAGCCTCGCCCCCACAGTATGTTAACTTAGATGTGTAGCTCATCAAGCCGCAGATGTTGATAGACAACCAAGGTCTTACATCCATTTCCACAACATTTCCCACACGGCCTTGTCCTTGTGGGACACAAAGCTGTCAGGGCAGGTGTTATTATACCCCCCCTCCCCCCATACACACTTCTACCTGGTCAAATTTTACAAACATCTTACAAAACCCAGATTCAAACCATTCAAATACCCACTAACATCCAATCACAGGAACCACAAATAAAACAACATTTCATTTTAATTAAAAAAATAATGAAATGTAATGTTTTTATTTTTTTTTCAATCTGCAAAAATCAAAACATTTCAAAACCCAGCAACACTGAATAAAAGCATGTTCTAGATTTGAATAAAAGTAAACATTGAAAACATGAGAACATTGTAAACCAGTTGGAGTTATCTATCTTTCAAATTGGTAGAAAAACCTAATGGTTTAAAATGCTGCTGATATTTTGATGTTTAATTTTATTGATCCAGAGACAAACTATGCTTAAGACAGCAACTCATCTTGTTTAAACTAGAACACCCTAATTTAGAAAATTAAAATAAACAGAACTAACTACAATAATTAAAGATTTTCAAGGACAACTTCAATTTTTCAAGTATTGAATATACATCTTCAACAACCATAAAAGCAAGTTAAAAGCTTTGATAAAAAATCTTTGGTCTCATTCTGGGTTATATCCCCTGATAGAAACCATTGATCACCACCATAAATCAGCAATACTGGCTGGAGAGGTGTACAACAAGTCAACAGTTAAAAACTTCCTATATTTATTGTCTTTACATATTTGCTTTCCAACTAATTAGAAAGCTTAATTTATGGCAACACTTCTGTTTGCCATTTACAAGAATTTGCTATTTTGAGTGGATAAAAGCGAGATTATTCCTGAACAGCATTCAGGCTAGGGATACTATGGGGGATCTGTCAACGCACGGATGTATGGATGTTTATAACTTGAGCAAAACAACCCATTACAATCAGTTGTTGGAGAGTTATACAGTAGATAATTTTTTTTGGTAATATTTTTTACTAGAACATAAACATTGTTACAGAAATTGTTCCCACAAAATAAGTAACTTTGCTACATACATATATGTTTCCCACAAAACAATTACAAGTTGTCACTGGTAAATACACAAATATTTCCCACATAGTGGGATGGATTATATGTTTATGTAACATAAATAAATATATAAAAATAACAGCACAAATTTATTTAATCATTAGGATGTAGGAAGGTTCTTATGTAAAAAAGACTAGGCTTGGAGTGAACACAGTTAAAAATTTAGATTTAAAATAAGTTTTTCTGATGTTAGCAGCTAAGGAACAACTGCCACAGGTCTGTTTTTACCAATCTGGGCCAGATAGTTTTGTGTTTTACCAAATAGGGCCAAGCACTTTTATGTTTTACCAAATAGGGCCAGATATTTTCATGCTTTATTAAATTGGGCCAGACATTTTTGTGTTTAACCAATCAGGAGCACATAGTTTTGTGTTTTACCAAATAAGGCTGATAATTCCTGTGCAATTGTAAAATACACATGAAGCATTAATTTTATATGTATTATATATGATACATTGGTGATGTACATTAACATGTAATGTGTATCATTATTCTTTATTTACAGGATATTTAAATATTAAAAAAAATATCACATTATAATAAATTAAAAAAGGATCACAAAAAATTGGAAGCTGATCAATAACAAAATCTTAATCCCCTTTCAAATGTATGTAGCAGTTTCTATAAGAACTGTGTGAAGCTGTTGGTTCTACATTCACTATTTCATGTATTCACAGTACAGTAAACTGATCTACTACCCTGTATTCCTATTGCAACTACATCTTATATACAAGCTAATGACAGTAAAATTATGAAAAGAAGTTATAAACATTTTCTAATAAAGAGTTTGAGACAAAAATCCTTCCACACATTAACAGAAAAATTACGAAAGTACATTCATTTTTTTTAAAACCTTGTGTAAATTGGGATTTAGTGAAGAAGACTTGTTTATTTATTTTACCAGTGAGTCTTAAATCAAGTTTCCACAAGTTAGCTTGTTTTTCCATCAGTAGCTGGTTGTGTTGTCATTGAATACAACATTGTTTTAATTCACCTGCAGACACAGAAAATATTGACTGTAGGTGGAATTAAAAAAAAAACAAGGGTATTCATTTTAGTTGAATTTGTGAGTTCTAAATGTGGCTGCTTTGCTTTCAAACACTTAAAAAAAACAGAAGCATAATTTTAAAACACCATCAGAAGGAACATCATTTTGACTAAATTTAATAACAAAAAATTTCTCTAACAGCTTTTCTGTAGATGGCTTTAATCTAATCCATAAAACATGCAATCTGGACAACCCACATATAATCTATACCTGTTATAATCTTAAAACCAGTTATCTAACCTACAATCCTCATAATCTCTTACTACTTGTATCTGATCTATATATAAACCCCAACCTGACAGATATAAACTTCAAGTATTTTTAGTCCAATCTTTCACCAACTTAAAGAAATCATTTAGTCACAGCACAAAGACAAGTAGGTATGTGATGAAAAAACTGAACATGAAAACAAAATGAAATAAAAATCATCATTTTATTTCTTTTTAAAAATAAAATTCCAAAACAGGAAATAAAAAGCTGCATAAACTCTCCAACAAACAGAAAACAGAAATGTGTACACAGGATGGAGTGGGCTGAGGGTTTGATTCAACTTACTAAAATAATCATATTCAGACATCTCTTCCTGTGCTGTTGTGTCCTGGGTGCTCAAGTTTTTGATGTCTAGGTAGGATTTTATTTTCTCTGCCCTGTCCATCCAATCTGTCACCTGCAGACATAGGGATGTGACCAAGTTTTGTGTGTTAAACAGCTGGGTGAGATCAAATTTGTGTGTGTTAAATAGCTGGATGAGATAAAGTTATTTTGTGCTAAATAGCTGAGACCAAGTTTTTTGTGTGTTAAACTGCTGGATGATATCAAGCTTTTTGTATGTTACTCTCACTGATACTCTAGTTAAACATGATGTAATAAATGAGAGCCACCAACCTGAGATTTTAACAAATCTTTTCTCTTGCCTTTTGGTTCAGCTGTGAGAAGTAAATGTGAAATGAGGATAAACATTGATAAATAGGTAAACTGTTTTTACATAACAAAGGCTTTTTATTTTTATTATATATATTCTTTATCTTACATAATTAAATTAGTTTATGAAGAGAAAATCAATGTTTCCATAAAAAGAATTAAATCAGGAAATAAGCTTATTTCTTGCATAAAGTTTGTTTTTTTCAATTTTGAAGATTCTAAAGTAAATAATTCCAGCAGCAATAAAATTTTACTTACAAGGTAATATTTTTAATAAAGCACCCAAGGCCAGTTCATAATGATGTAAACATTGTTCATATTCATCTTTTTGTTCCTAGTAGTGAAAAAAGGCTTGATTTAGAAAACAATGAGCTATAGAAATAACTGAAAAATCTAAACAAGTGAAGAAAATGTACAAGATAAAACTGATAGCAGGTGATTTATAAAGCAAATCACATTAGAATAATCATTTGTCTAAAGTTTTGATGTGTAAGAAATAGCTAATAGTTTAAACTAAGAGCATATATAATAATAGTGAATGATAAATGACATTATTTTTTAAATTAATGCTAATTATTGCCTAGAAGAATTTAAAAAAAAGTATAATTAGGTGACTAACAAGCATTACAGACCAACAGGTATTTACCTCTATCAAAGCAGCATTAATTAACTTGAGAACAGCTAATAGTTCTTGTGAATCTGCACATAATGTCACTGGGAAAAAAGTTTCTAAATTAGATTTTAAAATACTATTTTTTTCATGGTGGGTAAATAATTTTTTATGTTCATATAAGATATTGATGAGAATTTAGAAAAGGCTTACTCAGTTCATCTAAGGTGTTGTTTGACATGGTTCTTGTGATGGCTGCTGGGTCTGAGACACTGATGGATAAGGCACCAAAGGCACTAGGCTGAACACTTTCTTGTGACTTGGGGGGTGTGGGGGGTAGGGATCTGATAGTCCCAGCAGAGGATGTAGGGGGGTCTCCTTTACTTGTTACTAGTCTGCTATCTGAGTCTGTACTCAGTGACCTCAGTGGTTTGACAGAAGGTTTGTGGAGCTCTGTTTTCATTATCTGCTTCAAAGTTTCAGCCCGATCCATGTATGCTTGAACCTAGAAGAAAAAGTTGCGAATTATTTGCAGCTACAACTCTTTCCAAGTTGCTAATTATTTGCAGCTACAACTCTTTCCAAGTTGCTAATTATTTGCAGTTGGTAATTATTTGCAGCTATAAGTATTTCTAAGTTTTAAATTATTTACAGCTGTAATTATTTTCAGTGCGATCAACATTAATTTTGTCATAATGTGTCTTACATCATGAAGAAACAGTAAAACTTCTGAAACATTATGATCTTTCTTAGTTGGTACCAACTTTATTGGACCAAAACCTAGATGGTTTACACTTTAGTGACTAACTTTATGTAATGATGTTCTGAGTGAATGATGCTTATTCTAATCTTTTTTTCTTCTAGTATTTAGATATTGTAAAAATGTAAAGTTACCCTTTCAGACCATAGAGCAGAGTTCATCTGAATGGATATGAATGGATAGGGTTGTGTGGTCAGCACTATGCTCAACCATGTTTTAAACTTTTCCTAATGTGAGTCAAGTACCCATGAGAGCTTGGTGGACTCAGCTGATTATAATCTAATTGCATTAATACAACTTAAAATATTAGCACCCACCTCAGATTTAATATTTGCAGACATGAACATGGGCTAACATGACTAAATGTTATTTCTTAGTTATGTCCCCTTTCCTAACTTCATTTTTATAGAGAAAGTATTGTAATCGTGCACAAAAATCACTTGAAATTTTAACTATTTTCACCGTATTACACCTCAGTCATTCATCACATCCGAAGTATAGAGGACTTATTTTAATCGGGCAAAAATTATCAATCCAGATTTATCAAAATTAAAAGGTTTTATGCGTATTCCAGTCTGAAAAACTGGGCTTTGCAATTCTGTCCGTATGTCTGTGTGTCTGTGTGTGTGTGTGTCCGTGTGTAAACACGATAACTTGAGTACCGTTACAGCTAGGTTGATGAAATTTCATATATAAGTATTTTATCAAAATCGTAGATCCGTATCAACTTTTGAGCGATTTCGGATAACCGGAAGTGGTACTTTTTCTACTTTGAATTTTTCAAAAGCCTATAACTTGAGTACTATTTCAGATAGATAAATGAAATTTGATATGTAAGTAAAAGATCTAATTCTCTACCTTCTGTCAAATTTTGAGAATTTTTCGTTGACCGGAAGTACTTATTTACGCTACTTCCGATTTCTCAAAAAACTAATGTAAATTTTAAAAGTACTAATAATATTGCGCACTATTATGCGCTTTTTTATTCGCGTTCACTTGGTGTGCAATTAATTTGTCTACGAGATTTTATTCTATTTTTAAATTTTTAAGTATTTAAAATGGATTAAAAATCATGTCTATAGCCCGAGTTCCCATCCCCTGTTATTTTATATAAGAATATTCGAGAAAGTTTAGGGGAGATCACTCCCGGTTTATTACATTTTTTAATTAATTTAAAAAAAAAATCAAATTGGGTATGAATTTAGAATTCTTTCTTAGTCAGCAGATAAACATTTATATGCAATATTAGAAGGAAATTGCTCTACCAGAAATATGCTATATTTAAGTTACATGATGTGACCAGAAACAAAACCACTAACAAATAAACATTAATAGAATAAGTTTGGAAACAGTAAAATATAGAGCTTACCTTTGATCTTAGAACTTGCTTTTTTTCTAAACTTTTTTCATCTGTAGAAAGAGATAAAAATTCTATACAAATACAATACATTTTGAAGTTGAGGGTACAAAAAGCAGCTACAAAAATAAAAATAATCTAAAAATTGGAATGAAATAATAACATTTAATACTTGTTTACTAACAGTGTATGGCTGGCATGAAGTAGTCGAGAGCTTCACAATAAAGTCGTACAGCAGTTTTGTAATCTCTCTCTTCATCTTTTTTAACTGCCTCTGCCACTATTTCACTCTGGCAGATAAAATTCAATTAAGTAATGGACAGTATTAGAGTTAAAATGATTGTTTTAAATTGCCCTTTAAAAAAATCTTTAGTCAATGGCTTCTCTTTTCTAGGCTAGCCATATTTAAATGTACTATGTAACTCTTTTGTGATATTGTTTTAATTAAGGCTGAATAATAGTTAAGCCTCAAGTTTTGAAAGATAGCCAAAATGATCGATCAATCAATTTGAAATAAAAAAAATAACTTACTGCTTTGGTTAAAGAGTCTTTTGAAGGAATGTGTTCCATATCAACAAATGGGTGAGCAAAAAATTCTTCAAATGTAATTCTTTTAGCAGGTAACCTTTGTAACAAACGAAGAGTCAGATCTCTAGCTTTATCAGAAACATTACAGCCTTGAGGAATCTGCCAGAATCAAAACAGACAACTTGAAGATTAACCGAACAAGTAGCAGCTTAAACAAGTTTTTAAATTATATTTTATGTTCAGCAAATAATTTGTACATAATTTCAAAATAAACTAGTAAAAATTTAATTCAAGAACAAGTAAAAATTCTGTTTACCTCAATAGGTTTCTGATCCCAAATTTTTTCCCCTAACTCTTTGAAGTTTTTAGATGCAAATGGTGCTTTACCAAAGAGACATTCTAAAAGTATAAATTTTAAGATATTGTTAGAAAACTAAAATTTAGTTAAAGTAATAAATTTTAATTCTCTATTGCAATAGTAACAATAATTGGTTGTTCAATATCATTAAAAATATTTTTCTAAAAAAACAACTGAGTAGTCGTAGTCATTATATTAGACAAACAATTAACAAAAAAGCAAACATTTTACAACTCAGTATACGCATTGACCAGTAATAAGATATTTTACTTCCCTGTAATAGATAAGTTTCTTTTCTTATGAAGGTACCGAAAATGTGACTAGTTATGACAAAATGACAACATCAAGCATATCATTCTAAAAAGCCGCAACTCTCTACTTTAAACATTAGTGATTGTCATCAAAAAGGTAAAAGGAAATAAAAAAAAGAACTTTTCAAATATGTTTAAAGTGTTAAAATTCTACTGATATTTGTAAAATGTTAAATGTAAGCACCATAAAGTATAACACCAATAGCCAGAGATGTTACTGATAAGTGTAAAAAGTTTTCATTAAAATTATGATACTGCTTAACCATAAGTCAATGTGTAAAATGTTTTAATAAAAGTACCATAAAGTATGACACCAATAGACCAGAGATCAACTCTATTGTCGTAAGTTCCAAGGATGACAATTTCTGGTGCCATATATAAAGGTGATCCTCTCATCACATGTAGGCGATCTCCATCGTACAAATGTTTTGCAAACCCAAAATCTGATTGAATCAAAAGTCTGGACTTTAAAAAAGGTTTCTTAATTACAATACTTGGTTCTATGGTTCAATACTGAAATTAGCATTTAAATTGGAAAATGGGTCTTGTTACATGAAGATAAAAAAAAGCTAAAATGAAAATCACACCAAAATCAAATCTTGTTATTTATTTTATATTGTGGTGTTAATTCAATGTTAGAGATAATGTTTTTACATTTTCCAGATATAAAAGTTTGAGAATATAAAACTCACCAGCTAATTTAATCTGAGGGCTTGTGTTTGAGGTTAACAAAATATTTTGTGGTTTTAAATCCATATGTGCTACATTGTTGTCCCACAAGAACTTCATTGCTGAAGCTGCCACACATACATGGGAAAAAGTTTGTCTCATTAGTTGTATAAAAATGAGCAATACATAGAATATGATGCCTTTAATACTAATGCAACATCAAATAAAACTCATTGAAGGGTAAAGCAAATGCCACCACCAAAAGGGCTGGAAATATTTCTTACCTATCTGCTGTAAAAATCTTTTAGCTATGTGCTCTGGCAATGCTCTTTTACTTCGAATAAATCTGGACAGGTCTCCTCCACTACAATACTCCATTATGAGGTATATGTAGCTCGCATCCCACTTTAACAGAAAAAAACAACATTGGAAATCAGTTTAAATAAAAATCTATATTTGAATGGTTGCCAGCAATAAAGACATCAAAGTTAGCATCATGCTTCAATCTATTATTTCAACCCAGCATTAATAAATTACATATTTTCTAAACAAATTGTAGTTAGAAGTAATAGAGGCAGAAGAGTCTATTGGTGTGGTGGGGTGATCTCCCCTTGTCACATTCCTTCTCTATTAGGCTGCTGGAGATGGTAGACCAGTTTGCTGTTGATCATGTTGCCTCAGTTGAGTGAGAGTAGTTAATGTTCGTAAAGGCCTAACCACCCCTAATTTGCTCAGGAAGTTCTTGATGACCGGAGCACAAGCTGGTAAGTAATTTGTTACACTTCTATATTCTCAAGCAACTCAAATGGCTGGTTCATTCCAGGCTTTTCCAGGCCTGGACTACAGGCAAATTGGTTTTTTGTGGAAATAACCAAATGACTTTGTTTGACTAGAACATTTATTTCACCAAGACCTTTGTTAACCAAGGTACAAATGTATATAGGAAATACATCTACCCAAACAGCTACAAAAGGCTTAATAAGGTAAGTTTTTTCTTCTTAGTGACAGCTTTTACACAATTACAGTAGCAATTTCAAATTACAAAAAAATACAAATTTACACAAATCTAAAAAAAAAAGAGCTAATGTGAAAGGATACTCATATAAATAGCAACAAAGCAAGCAGGAAAGGGTTTAACAGAAATTTGATACTGACCTGAAAATCTTTCAATGTAACTATGTGTTCATGCTTTAAATTCTTCAAAAGCTCTATTTCAGTTAATAAATTTTCAGTTGAAGCTTTGTTTAAACTACTTTTTAAAACACATTTGATAGCAACAACTTCTCTCTCACCACTCTGAAAAAAAAAAAATTTGCAATTTGATGATTAAGAATTGTTATTGCCCAAAGTCTAAACCCTTTTTAATTAACTCTAGCACCAAGGTTATAGATTAAAGAAAAAAAAAATTATCCTTTCTATTTTCTATTAAAGGCGTAAGCTATAATTATATTTAACAGAGTAGGAGTGTGAAAGACTATTTTATTTAGCATTAAATAAAATCTTGTAAAAGCAGCTCTCTGTATTCTTGTGTTCAAATCATAAATAACTCCTGAACATCACTGCCATATTAAACCAGCATATGTGAATCACTGAATAATATGCGTGAAAGCCTTAATTTTTATACACATGACAATAATCTGGCTTTTTGTGATGATGTGACATTGGCAAAATATCCACCCCCCCAATAATGCCATTTTATTTATAATCTTATTGCTGAAAACAAAGCACATACTTTAAAAGCAAACAAAAGTATACCAAGTTTTAATGAGGTCAAATGCCAAGTTCTTGTCCCGTGTAGTTTTTAGCGCAATTTCCATTCTGGAGAATTGCGTTTATTAACTCGTCCTTTCTGGGAATGGATGGATGGATGAATGAATGAATGGATGAATGTGTGTCCGGGCTTTAAGTCGTATCTCCTCCTCAACGAAGCAATATCGATGACTAGTTCCAAAAGCAATTATGTTAAGCAAGTTACGAGAATGAGCATAGGCCATAAAAATTCCGGGTTTCTTTCATGTATTTCCCGTAAAAGCCAAAAAACCTCGAAAAAATGCAGTTTTTGGCCCATATCTCGGCAACCAGACCACTTAGCGACTTGAAACATGTACCAATCGATTCCTGCCATAATTTAGAACAATATTGCCGAAGAAAGTTTTCAAAAATATCCTCTCGTTCGGTCACAAATTTTAAAATTACATAAACACCTACAAACCGATCGCTCTTCTAGCTTGAACGCACCCCATCATTAAACGTCAGAGCTATTTTTAGATAACATAAGGAAATTGCGCATAAATGTCACTAGACTTTTTTAATTAACTTGCGCGCCTACTGAACGTGATGGCGCAGCCATGGAACGCGATGACGCATCTATTGAACGTGATGACGCGTGTGGTGTGGTTGTATATACATGCCGGAAGTAGAGATCTATCATCTTAATGATTATCATGTTGATAATCAAGTTCAACTAACCAATGGTTTTAATAACCCTGCTCTTGATTTCAAGGTGCTTAGTTTAGTTAGTAGTTAGGTTTATTTAATAAAAAACGTTTTAATAACTAACCAATGGTTTTACTAACCCTGCTCTTGATTTACGCTACGACAGAGCTATTTTTAGATAACATAAGGAAATTGCGCTAAAATTGTCACTAGACTTTTTAATTAACTTGTTTTTACAAAAGTGATGAAAATGCCATTTGGAAATTTTTTGGGTAATCTATCGTTTTGGGTACATAAAATCGCCCGCGACTAGTAATGTGAAAGACAGGTGACTCCTTAAATTTTAATAATTATTTCACATTTTGAGGAGGATTTATGTTTTGAAAAATACAAAAATGTTTCCTTGTTTCATTTATGTACCTGTTTTCAAACAATTGAATTAAAACTTTTCAATAATAAATGAAGACTAGCGATGTTTCCAACAGATGCAACCATTCTCATTTACTATAGCAGCCATCTTGTTTAAGTTCTTTCTTTGTTAACTTATAGCGCAAGATTCAGGGGAAGGCAACTCTATTTTACAAATGGCTGCTGTTTATATAGGAAATCCTGCTCGCAAACATTGCTGTTTAAAGTTAATTTCTTGCCTATATTGATATATTTAGCTATTGATTTAGGTTTATTATTCATTGATCTATAGTATTTGACACAAATATATAAAAATATACATCTATTAAAGCCTTGACAATGAGGTAACTTTTTCATACATTAGAAGCCTCTGGCGATTTTACGTACCCAAAACGATAGATTACCATTTTTTGGATTATTGATACTAGGCTTTTTGATGAGAATTACAGAATGATTATTTTTATTAAAAATGTATCAATAATAGCTAGAACACTAGTAAACTAAGCTAATTTAGCATATTTTAACTTTCTGTGCAAAGTCATTGTTACTGAAAAAAATTCCAAAGTCAGGTCAGCCTGTGGCACCCTCCACTGAACTTGACAGAAGGAAAAAAAACTTGACCCGTGACCCTCATTAAAACAGAATTTGCTTTTGTTTTATTTTTTATTTTTAGTAGACATGTGCTTTATCTTACCCAATAAGTGATAAAAATTTGAAAATTAATTTTAATTACTGTTGTAAAGTGAGATAAACAGCTTAATAAACACGTGTTTTCTTGAGGGGGTGTGACCCGGGTGTGTCACATCGCAATTGGAACTTTATATTTCTGTGTTTTATGACTATATTTGTTTACAATTAGCATGCTATGCTTTTAAAATTGATAAAGGGTAAGTATACCAAGTTACAAAATCTGCAATCTAACTAATAATTCATACTTTCAGTTTAAAAAATAATAAAAACGATCATCAACGAAGAAAGCGTAAACATTCTATTTTTAGGTGTGACATAAAAAAACAGTCATAAATCTAGCCAAATGATTGGATTCTTGCGCGGCACACATTTTCCCGCGCCTCGTTTTCACCAAACAAGATTATAATAAAATGGCATTATTGGGGGTGATCGTTTTCCCACGAACACATCTCATAAACCCAAGAAATTATTACCAGTTAATTGTAATGTGTGTTAAATTAATAGTTTAAAGTTTTCAAGTAACATGGGCTGGGTTCCAAGGATTGCGATATTTCAGAGTTATTTGATTTAAAAGACAAGAATACATAGAGCTATTTTCACTTACGCGCCGCTTGCGAGACAAACAAAGAAATTAGGTCAAAAGTACATCTGGGAATTCTTAAATAACAGACTGAAATAGAAACGGATAATTCCGTTTTCTAAAATTAACGATGGCATCGTAATCAATAGTTTTATCCCTCTACCGTTTAGAGAAAGCGAAACTGGTCGCCATTTTAGTAAGCGCATGAGCCGTGAGATGCCACGAAAATGACAAACCCGGAAGTGTTGAATCGAACGGCCTAATTGATACCTTTTTGATACATAGATCTAAATATGTTTTATATTTTCATCAAAATGCCTACTTAGTTAATAGTTATATATCTAGTCTATTATATAAGTTTTTAGTACTTTCACTTTGTCTTTTGTTTTGACTATTGACACAAGGGATGGAAGTAGACTTGGACTAGGAAACGTCTCCTGCCCTGGTCTGAGAAAAAATCTGAGGACCCTCTTCTTAATCATAAGAAGTACACTAAATAAATATTTAACAAGGGATTAGATACGCATTATTATATCCTTACTTTTTTATAAGCCTTATAAACGGTTGCGTACGTTCCACTTCCGAGCTTTTCAGTAAATATATATTGTGTTAAAGAAGGCTTTGGAACAGCTTCAGGCGGCGTCGAAGTTGGTCTGGAAGCCATGATTGTTTATATTTATAGTACCAAAAATATACACCTTGTTTTGGTCGCAAAATATCAACATTGTATCAAGAAATATTTTCAGTTCTATTTTTCAGCTAAGAAATATCTCAAACTATTATTCAGTTTTAAAACCGAGTAAATGGTAGTATTTTAGACTGAAAAGCTGCAAAAGATATTTTTTTAGGCAACCAAGTCCGTGGTGATTATGTCGTATTTGTTTAAAGATGGCTTCCTGATTTGTTTACTGTTGTTAGGCATAAATGCGACCAGGTACTTTCTGTGTGACGTTCATCCAACTACTGCTTTCATTTTGTCCTTTAAAATCCATAGGAATATCGTTGATATCGATTAGTTGTCTAGTATCATAAGTTACAGTTAGTTGTTAGGCGTTGCACAAGTCAGTTAAGTCAGCTAAAGTTCACAGTGACACTTGTGACTTAGCTGTGGTGTGGCATTTAATTAATTTTTTTTTAGGTAAAACATTTAGGCAATTCTTAGTGGACTAGCTATTGCTAGTTATTAGTTAAAGTACATAGTTATGTTAACAAAAAGTACCTTTTAAAATTAGCATTGAAAATTGAATGATTCAGGAAGTAATCGGCCCTACCAAGGTCTGTGTAAAAATAACTTTTAACTATAATGAAATGACTCAAATGAAATGTGATTTATTAAAATAAATGTATATGATTTTGTATCCAACACACTAACACTTAATGCTCACACCCTTTACGGCATTTACCATTAGAATCTATACTAATCTGTACTATTGGTTTAGTTTAAGTGCCATTGTTTTAGCCAGGTTTAAAAAAGTTAATATGTATTAGTTACAAATGACCAATTTGAAAAAAGACTACTGTGCCTGCTATTCTATTGTCTCAGTTGAAAAAGTTTTATTACTATTAATAGCTAGCCTGAGTTCAGATCCTAGTTTCAAGTTTGTAGGTTGTCCCTGAGTCCACCCAGCTCTGATGTGTACCTGACTTGGGAAAATTAAGGTTGCTTGACACTGTAATGTGCTGACCACACAATCCCACTGTATGCTGAGGTTATTTAAAGAGGTGAACTCTACTTCATCTGCCCGATGTGTCTTAGGCACAAACAGGAAAAGATGAGGTCTATAAAAAATATTATCTTAAATGATTTCTAGAAATTTCTGAAATCAAATATCGCTAATCCATCGATTAGGATGTCTTGAGTATAGTTTGTTAAACCAGCTTTCAGCTACTATAATGTAATGTAGTATATAATATAGGCAACATCCATAAGTGTCTTGTACTTAGGGGGAGGGGGATTCTTTTTGTGATGATTTGAAACATAGGACTTGTAAATTAAAGGAGGTATAATATTTTTTGATGCTATTGTGGTGGAACGGGGAAGGTGGGGCTAAGTGTTTTGTAACTATGAGGTGTGGTGGGGGAGGGATAAGAATAATAAAATCAGCACAAGTTGTAAAATGTCATTTGTAGACACTCATAGTCAATAATATTTCAGCACTAAATCAAAGTCTAATCCAAACCTTAGACTGTAGAGTGCTAAAAAAATTAACTAAAGAATAAAGAGTACATTTATATATGATATTTCATAACTTTATTATTAAAAAATTATTGTATTTTTTTTCTAATAGGTCTTATGGCATTACGGCCAACTATAGTGTGCTATATATGTGGAAGAGAATTTGGTTCAAAATCAATTTCCATTCATGAAACTCAGTGTTTAAAAAAGTGGAACATTGAAAATGAAAAACTCCCACAAGGTCAACGAAGACAACCTCCAATTAAGCCTCAACTCTTACCAGCTATTGGTAAATCAGGAGGGAAATCTGAAAATGAACGATTCAATGAACTGGCATGGCAAGCTGCCCAGGCTAATCTTGTAGAGTGTGATCATTGTGGACGAACTTTTCAACCAGATCGTTTAAGTGTTCATCAGCGGAGCTGTAAGCCTGGTAAGCCTCTAAAGCCACTACGTCAGAATAATAATAATAATGATACAAATATAAAAAGTGAATCCAAGAGACCTGGCACAGCAGTCTTGACATCACCTATTATACTTAAACAAGATGATATAGTTGATAATGGGACCACAGAAGTAGCCAGTTCAACTGCTTCCACGCCATCACAAAGTAGCCGCCAAAAGAGTGGAAAATATTCTAATAGACCCATTAGTGCAAAAGGAAGAACAAGACCAAATCTCTCAATTTCTAATAACCAGCTATCTATAAACGGACAGTCGAGTCAAGGGAATCCTACAGACAATATGAATAGACAGAGCACTTTCACATCACCATTGCAGAAAGGGCCACCCAAAGCTAAACGAGGTCCTCCAGGATCTAACTTTGTATTTTGCTATATATGTGGAAGACAATTTACTACTGCTTCAATTGGTAAGATTTTTTTTATTATTTAAATTTTCCAAGATTTTATTGAAAATTTTCTCAGCATAAATATTTATTATTTTCCTTAATTGTTATTTTGTTTTGGCAATAAGTAATCTTTGTTACAAATGATTTCATAATTGTCTTGTTTATCTGAATAAATGTTTGGTAAATGATAAAGATCCACTTTTTCATTAAACAACAGGTATTCATGAGCCACAGTGCTTGGAGAAATGGAAAATTGAAAATGATAAGCTTCCCAAAGAACACAGGAGGCCATTACCCAAAAAGCCTGAAATTCTAAAAGCTGGTGGTGCATATGATGTGCAGGCTGCAAATGAAGCAGCTTGGCAAGCTTCACAGGCCAATCTCGTACCATGCCCTAATTGTGCAAGGACATTTAATCCAGACCGCCTGGCTGTTCATCTTAGAGCATGCAAACCAAAATCTGGCACCACAGGTACAAAGTAACATAGACTTAAAAAAACAATACTCATAATAAATTTTGTTTTGAAAACATATTTAACTAGTTTCATTAATATGACAGTATTATTTTCAAATATTAAAAGCTACCATTATGCAAACATAATTGTGTTCTACAGGTCACATATGTATGTACTTATAGCCCTACCCCTTATGCAAAAAGCTATAATAAAATAATAACACTGCATTTTAAAATGTTCATATTAATTTCACATAGGGACCAATCAGAGTACAAACAATTCAAACTCTGGAAAAACTGCAATGGAATCTACAACTAAGTTAAAAGAAAAAAACCGGGATGAATCTCCTCAAAGAGGACCAAGGACAGTTATTTGTTATATATGTGGCCGGGAATTTGGAACCAAGTCAATTTCTATTCATGAGCCTCAATGCCTGGATAAATGGAAGACTCAGAACGCTCAGTTGCCAAAAGAAATGCGCCGCCCCATACCCCGCAAACCTCAGACAATATCTGGTGGTCAAATGACACGGTATGATAATGTTCTAAATTTATTCATTATATTTTTTAAACATTCAATACAATTGGAAAAAACAAACAAAAACAAAATGGTTTAATTTGTTTTTAAATTAAAATTTTTTTTTATAAACTGTTGCAGTTTTGTTCAACCAAACAATTATTTAATGGTTAAGCTTTATGTATTGTTTATATACAGGGAACAGATGAATGAAGCAGCTTGGGAAGCTTCTAAAGCACAACTTGTGCCCTGTGGAAATTGTGGCAGAAAATTTGCACCTGATAGACTGGTTGTGCATCAGAGAGCTTGCAAGCCTAAAGGGGGTAGCAGTGAAACTGCAGTAAGTTTTTTCTTTAATTTTTCCGTTTTAAAAGCCATTCATAACATGAATCCAATAACTATAAATAGTATAAAGTAAATCTTGCGTGATTACTTGAGCAGACCATCAACCAGTAAATATAGTCTTTAACATTTTAAATTTTTGTTCAACTCTGCGATTAGCCTGCACCTCCAGCAGTTGTTAGACGACCACCTACTATTATTTGTTATATATGTGGAAGAGAATTTGGTTCAAAATCCATCTCAATACATGAGCCACAGTGTTTACAGAAATGGCATGTTGAAAATGATAAACTCCCAAAGAATATGAGACGTCCTGAACCTCGTAAACCTGAAGTTCGAACTCTTGCAGGTATTTTGTTTAAAATTAGTCTCCCTACACTCGTCCTGGTAAGCCCCATCATGTCATGATTATACTTATTGCTGCTTAATTTGTAATAATAGGAAAGATATGGTAAAAAAATATGACATTTTTGACCAACCCAATGCAAACTTGTGTATCATTCCCCTAGAACAGGGATCTCCAAACTTTTCAGTCAGAGGGCCGCATTAACTATCAAATTTCAGTTCGGGGGCCAGTTTCTTCCAGGCATGTCGTGACTTTCTGAGCAAGTTCCTCTGCCAACTCCAACAAACGTTTTTTTCAGTGGACAAAAAGATCTCAGCGGGCTGGATGAGAGGACCTTGCCGGCCGCATCTGGCCCAGAGGCCATAGTTTGGAGACCCCTGCCCTAGAACATTATAGCTCATATTATATAAAGGTTTCTAGCCTGACACACCGTGCCACAATTAGGGTTTTTATAAGTTGTGATTTAAAAAATAAAGGAATTACATCAATTTAGATTACATCTTACATAGGAGAAAAAGAAATGCAACATTTTACACATCTTATAATGAAAGACTAAGCACTGCTTACAAAATTTTTGTCTATTTAATCTTTTCTAAGACATTAACGATATTGTAACTAATAAGTTTTGAATATAAATACCTAACAATTATTACAGGGAATAAAAGTGGGACGTATGACGTAGATGCAGTAAATGAGGCAGCATGGCAGAGTGCCCAGGCAAACCTCTGTCCTTGTGAAAACTGTGGAAGAACCTTCCTTCCAGACAGATTAATTGTTCATCAAAGAAGCTGTAGACCAAAGCCGCCTAAAGTTGAAAACTAGTTTCAATTCAGCAAGTGATGCTGGTTTTGTACAACCTACTTCATGTTAATTACTTCTTGATAGTAATTTATTTAATCACAAATGTAAACAACAAAGTAGAATATCTAGTTAGATCATTTGTTAACACTATATGTATCTGTTTCACAATCCACATTACATTTAAATTGTTCTTTTAATACAAATTCCATTTTACTAGAACCAAAGACAGAAAATCGCTTTTTTTGGGCTCAATTGTTTATTATATCAAAGCTGATTTCAGGGCTGTTAATATACTTACACTGTATATAAATATTTTATATCAGCTGTAAGTTATAGCTGATTTATCAACTTTATTAAAGCATTGTATGAAACCTTACCTGACATAAGAAATTCACTGCTAAATTGTAAACTTCTCTGCTCAAAGAGTAATAAGGACAATGACATTTATTCATAACTTGCTATTAATTGATTATTTAATGTTTATTTATATAAAAATATTTGAGACTCTTGGTACATGATCCAAGTTAATAAACCCCAATCCAAGCATATGTATGTGATTGTTTTAATAAAAGTGATATTTAATACATATTGTTGTGAGTTGACTTTAATTACCTCATACTTTAAATTTAAGAAATAAATCAAATTTTACTGCGCTGATCAATTTAGTCCTTTATGCTGAGTTACAGTAAGATCTATGGATGCTGGTCAGTGCTTTGGTTCTTCATCTGGAGTTTAAACTTAAGACTTTGTTTATATACCAGTGATATATCATAGACTCCCGCTAACAAAACCAGATTATGATTTAAAACATTTTATATTTGTACACTGATCTATAATAAAAATGTGTATATTTATTATATTTTAATCAATTTAATATTTAGATGACTTTAGCAAACTGTTAAATTGTATTTTTGTTATTAACTGTTGTGATGTGACAGAAACTGTATACTTCTTGTCCTTTTTTATCATATTTTGAGCACTTATTTAGACAACTGTCACTGTATTTTAATTTAGTAGTATGCCAATGCCAATATTTTATTTATCAAAGAATATAAAATATCTGTAAAGTACTTTGTGGAAATTTAACAGTAAAATTGTTATGAGTTTCAATAAATATTAAGATAAATTAACAGTCTTAAAATGTGGGATAAAGATTAAAATGTTTCAAACTGTAAAACCAGCTCTTGGATTAAATAAAACAATTTATTTACAGCAGAGTCTGTTTTTGAATTGAAACGATGCATACATTACTTCAGATCTACTTAAAATGCACCAACTGACACAAAACAAAACTAAAATTTTAAATATTTCATTTAATAATGTCAACAAAACCTTTGTTTATTACTTACACTGTTTAGATGTTGTTATCTTATTTTGATACATAATATATGCACAAAATAAGTTCCCTGTATTTGATCAACAAAGGTAAAATAAAAATGTGAATTGTATTTTTAAACATGACTTGACAGATATATTCAATGTATGGTTAAATGATTGGAAGTGATTTTTAAATTTTTTTTCTTTTTGTTTGATTTCAATAAAAATCTGAAATTGCCTCAACACAGATAGCTCATAACTGAGTTTATATAAAAAAAATAATCTTTGCTCCTAAGCCTACTGAAATATTTATACTATAAAGATTTAAAATAAAAAAAAACTTAACATGTTGGACGAAATATTATACAGATAGCAGAAATTAATCAAGCTTTCCCCCTATACTTCATGAGAATCATTTCCCTGAAATTTTTTAACAGTTCTATCGCCAAATTGTTTATGTCATTAAGGTGTTTTGTTTAAAAAGCATCAAGAAAGTGGATAGTTTAATCTAAAATTGCTGGTGGTTTTAATTGAATCTCTAGTTTAACTATGAACAAATTAAGCCACATTTATATTAAAATACAATACCATGGTATATAAAACATTCAATAGCAAACAGAATAAAGCATTAGAATTACAAAATTTGACTTAAAAAAAAATAAATCACAAATCAGCTGACATAAGACATTTAGTTAAACTATGCAACAATCGGCTCTGCAAGTTTCAATGCTTCCTTAGCCTGGACAAATTCCTCTGCTTCTGCTAAATCTGATTCTTTTTCCTGAAAATAAATTTAAAAATTAATGCTTATATTTACATCTTAAAAAATAAAAATGGATTGAAGCTGGTTAATATACAAAAGTATGTTTGCATGGTCAATTTTAAGATTAGAAACAATGTGAGAAATACACACAAAATCAAAACAAAAACAACAGATGCACATTTACCAGTAGTTCATCCAATTCTGCATAAGCTTTCTTCAGTCTTCTAATTGTATCTGGTACCATTGATCTTGATTCTTGGAGCACTTCTCCCTAATCATGACATGAGAAAATATATTCAGCATTTTTTTCTTTTAGAAATGTAACAAATATGGTAAAGATGTTAATGGCTCTTGTCTATACTTAGATCTAGCAAACTAAATAAAGCATAAAGATGAGCTCTATAAGCATGTTATACAGGAGAATTCTAGTAGTTGCACATCTTTGAAATTTGTAACATTGTTACTGATACAAGTAGGCTTTTGGGTTGAGAATAGGATGAGACAGATTTCTTATGATTCTATAAAATAATGTCAATTACACATTAGCACATTAGTATCGGCATGCAATTTAGTTTGCAATGAATAAGTGAAATTTTCCTGCCATACCTGCTTTCTGATATCATGTTCATCTTTGCCATCACTTTTCATTTTTTCAAGTCTTTCTTCTAGTTGTGTAGCTTCTTTCTCATAGCTTTCTTTTTCCTTCGTCAACCTTTAATGAGTTAATAAAAAGCTAATGATAATTTTATGTTTATAGAATTTATTATTATTTAATTTATAGAATAAAGACATTAACTTATGGCGTAATATCTAAATGGCAAATGGGATGATTTAGCTGGGTGGGTAAGCGCTAGACTGCTAACCTGAAAATCACCCAACTTTGATTAGTATCTAAATTATGTTAGGGAAATTAAAGGCAGCAGGCACATGCTGTCAACATTCTTCCTTCATATGCCGAGGTCACAGAAACAGATGAACTCTACATCACCTACCCCATGTATTGCCTGGTTCAAAAGGGTAACTTTTAAAATCCAAACTATTAATTGCTATAATAAGCTTTTGTATTAAATTTCAGAGCTGAAGCAAAAAAATTGGGCATCTATCAAACACAATAGATTGCCCTTGTGATGATATACAGGAAAATAAGTAGACCATAGAAGAAATGGTTATATACAGTACTATAACAAGCTCTTTACAACACAATATAGGTTTTAAATAAATAATTAGAAGGCATTTACAGAGTTGAGTTGTGTAATTCATCATTGTCAATCTTGTGGAGCATAGGGACAAGAACCATCCCATAGTACTTGGTTTTGGGTGATTCCTACAAGATGAGGCCACGACATACCGGCTGTTTCACTTTTCCAAGTTTGTTTTTAGCCTACCTACTTTCTTCTTTCCTTGGGGATTCCAATCTAATACCTGTCTGGTGATATTGCTGGTTGGTTTGCAAAAGGTGTGTCCAATCCATCCCCATTTGCACTTATTATTTCTTTGCCAATAGGATTTTACCCAGTTTTGAGTTGTAAAAACAAGATATTGCATTCACTTAGGTCACTCTGTCAGTGGGTGGGATTATGGTCAACTCTTGAAACTTAATTTTAACTCACTTCTTATGTGCCAATTTTTTTCACACTTTCTAAATAATTTACTTTCCTATGAATTTGTAAGAACAATATATATAATTTCCAATCTAATTAAATTTTAAATTAGAAATTTAAATAAGGTATAATTAAACTCAATAATAAATGGTGAGAAAGCAGGATAGAATACTAGCAACTACTTGCTCAGTCTGGTAGCTGAGGTGATTTGCATTCAGTTATATCACATCCTAAAGTTAACTGCTGATATTAATAAGGTCAATTAGGATGCTCATTAAATGACTTACTTAACTTGACTTATTCCTTTATGCTTGAGTGGCAAAGGGCTGAATGCTAAAAATATATCTAATACATTATAGAGATCAATACCTGAGCAGTTCTATTCAAAATTACATTGTTTCAAAAGGCAAAGTGGTAAAATGTGAGAGGGGTTAAAATCCTGTCAACCACATGTTCTTTTTATCTTACAGTTCACCAGATAACACCTAGGGTAAAGTGGTGAGATGTCCACAAAAAAGTATACATCACTCAAAATTTGCTTCTGTTTCTAGGCATGAATATGATTGATACATTTTTACTTCAATTCTGCTTTTAAATAATTTTTTTTTATTGTTAGCATCAATGCAAATATAATTCCATAGCCAGGTCGTTCAACAGCTCTCAATTAAAATCATTCTCCTATTTGACCAGTAGAAATTATTACTATTTATTGAAGTCAGCAAAATTAATAAATAGTTTATTCAAACAAAATGCTAGTCGAAACATTCAGATGTAGGCTATATTTTAAATAAGATAAGTTAAATTATAATGATCATAACTAGTTATATGAGGGTAGATATAACAAAACAAGTCTTGCAAATTATTTTGCCATTTGCCCAATATCTACTGCTGTGTTGCATTTTAAAACTTGATTTTACAACATCCCACAATGTCACTAGTCTCTCAGTAGTAGACTACTACTAGCTAGTAAAATTACTATTACTGTTACTACTAGATCTAACTAATTAACTCTATACTACTACTAGATCTAGATCTATTGTATAGTGAAGTACACTAGAGTTAGAATGCTAGACTAGCGTGTTCCTACATTTAGATCTACTACATAAAGTACATAGTATAGGCCTAAACATTACATTAGCCCTCTACATTTATACATTATGATTCGAAGTGTCTATTCAGTCGACTGTGAATAGCCGTATTAGGGCTATTCACAGTCGTGACCGTTTTGGCTAGATTTGATGTTAAAAATACCCTAATTGACATGAAGGTGTGTGGCCGAGCGGACATGGGGAGTGGCTGTCGTGCTGGGAGGTGTGGGTTCAAAACCATCAGATGCCTTATCGCTATGACTCTTAATGTATTCTTCTTATCAAAATATTTTTCCCAGTCTCTCATGGAATGGTCCGTTTGGTTAATTTTTTTTTCATTTGTGACGTAATCTGTTATAGCTAACTAAAAAGGACATCATATTTCACCTGATATTTGTTCTGTGATAATGTGAATTTTTAATGCTAATTGACAGTTGAATAACATGTGAACAACCAACTAAATTGATGCTTAATTTAGTATTATTTATTTAAAAATTATTAGATCTATTAGTCTAGTATAGATTTAAAGTGCATAATTGTCAATTTGATATTCCATCTATGACCTACCTAGCCTGTAGCAGATGTTTGATTTTAGCCTAAAAGTTAAACTAAAACTTTAACCGTAACTAATACCCTCATTTTATAAAAAAAACTTACACAATAAAAATAGTACTGCTCTCTTAATCTATACCTCACTCATCAGTCACAATAAATGCTTTTATGATTGTAAGATAATATTCACAGTCGTATTTAGCATGAAATGACAGCCGACTATGAATAGCCGTATTGGGGCTATTCATAGTCGGCTGGGAATAGCCCCAATACGGCTATTCCCAACCGTCTGGGAATAGCCTTGGCCATTATGATTATCAGTTAATTAATTTAGTGGCATTAGTCATCATTGTGACTCCTGGTGAAGTAATCATTCATCATGCATGATTCATCACTCATATGTTTTTACTTTTAGTGTAAGTCACTGTACGTACATCAATCTGATCAGGGGATTTAGATCTAGATTTAGTCTAGAATCCTAGATCTAGATTATTCTAGATCTAGTCTAGCCTAGGGGTCATCCATAAATGACGTCATGCTTTTTTGACGATTTTTACCTCCCCCCCCTCACCTTCGTCACACGTCGTCACAAAAAGCCAGAACCCCCTAAAATGACGTCACACCTCACTCAACCTACAACCCCCCCTCAAAATTGCAGTTGAATTTTTTTTAAACATCGATATTTTTCCAAAATCTTGTCTAAACTATTACAATTTAAACAGTTATCTAAAACGCGAAATAACGTCTAAAATTCGTTTTCTAAGATTGCTTTTTTATAATGCAATCATGTGACATTGCAACATCTGAACCTGAACCCCCCCCCCCCCCCCCCCCCACACATCGTCACAAAATTACGGACCCCCCCTCCCCCCTACGAGTGTGACGTCATTTATTATGGATGACCCCCTAGGAGTAGCTACAGACTACACTCACTACAGTACAACTACACAGCTCACAGTACACTCGTAACACTGAGTACAGACTACAGAGTACTAAAGAAAGAGTCAGACAGAGTCAGATTCTTATGGACTTATGGATTCTAGATCTAGAATCTAGACTTCGTACTATATCAATATCTAGAGACTAGAATCTAGCTAGAATTCTATAGGCCTAGATTTAGAGAATTTTATATGATTACCTTTTGACAACGCCAGTTTTGATTTTTATTTGTTTGATTCTTGGATCAGCCATACTGCTTAAAAAGTTTAAATATTAGATTCTAGATCTAGATCTTAATACTAGACAACAAAACCACGAGATATTTGTTCGATTCTTGAGTCTAGATTTAGACTGTAAGATGAATCAGCCGAAAAGAGTTATGGTTCTTGTACTTCAAATATTATAAAAAACTAGGAATAATCGATTATCCTTTGGTTGGTCTTTTATGTTTTATTCCTACTAAGTTAACCATATGAAAAAAAATTGCTAATGAATAGGGCCAATAAAATATTGCATATTGTTATTTAGAAAAAAAAGTTTAAATCTTGTAATTGTTTTCAGTGTTAACAGTTTGCAAGTAAATTTGAAAAAAAAAATTAATCGAATACAGCTCAGTTTTACTTTTCGCAAATCCTGAATGAGTACGGACTTGTTTACATTACATATCTACATAGCCCACCAACCGGCACAGCTGTAGTGTTGCGAGTTAGTCCATCTTAGGCATTCTTAGTGACACTGGATTATTTATTAGCTTTAGGCCCAGTGAAAGAAGTACAGCTTTATTTAATCTAGTCTAGGCCTAGTAAAATCTAGATCTAGACTCGAATAATACAGATCAACACTAAAAAAATCCACGATAATATAAATAAATTATACGATCATCATTGTCATTATCATTAGTATTAGTTAATAGTTATAGTTAGTTAGAGTGATTAGGGCCTATCAAAAATAATTAAAATATCAATGCTGTTGGCTGTAGTCTAGATAGATGAACTTGAAGAGTTCACTAGATCTAGAATCTAGTTAGTGTCTAATCTAGATCCAGATAGATCTAGTAGAATATAAAGTAGATGGATCAGCCATAATATTTATTATGAGATAAATGGCCAGTTGAGGGAGAAATACAACTGGCGCTTGGTTGATACTGAGTATCAAGTTGATAGTGTTGTCTTTTTCTGTAAACCTAAACCAAAACTAAAATCACCACCTCAACTTCAAATTTAACCGGAAATGTAAAATGTAATTGAAAATAGATTTTTATCCAGAATCTGCATTTTAAATGCGACTTTGTCACAATTAATTGAGATTTGGTGCAAGGTTTAGAGTTAGAGGGATGGCTACGACTATATTTAGTATCAATGTGCAGTAACTACGTGTAGATCAAGTCAAATGCCGATTCTGGATAGAAATCCGTTTTCAATGTCGTTTTTTGTTTCCGGTTAAATTTGAAGTTATGGTAACTTTGAGTTTGAGGTGATGACTTTCGATAAAAGAGACAACACTATCAACCTAGTGCCCGTTGTATCTCTCCCTCAACCGGGCCATTTATCTCATTAATAATATAATTACTTTTTAAAAGGGCCTATTTGTTTAAATTATTTATTGTAATTTATTATATTTATACTTCATATTGATTGTAGGTAAGTAATGCATTCTACCAGTCACACTGAGTCTCTAGGATAAAGCTAGATACAACATTGACCAATGACTATGAAACGCTTAACACACACATACCTGGGGAGTAGGTTTATAGATGATACCATTACCCATATACTCCTTTGATAATTTAGTAAAAGTCTAATTATTGTATATGCAAAATGGAATTTGGGGTGGGGGGTGGGGAGTGGTGAGTATTGTTACAAATATTTGTTACATAATAGTGCATTTGATTCTCATTATATTTAAATACATTTCTTCTATTCTAGTTCTTTAAATCTATTAGATTGGTAGGGTGAAAAAAGTAACTTTTCAGTGGCAGGTTGTAAACAATGTCACAAAATACAAAAAATATAGAATACATTACACATGGACTACACATAGATTCATCATACAAACAATGAATGAAACTATTAATAATTTGATACTACTAATAACAAGCCCACTTGGACACCTTGACCTTAAGCTTCATTGGAGTTTATTAGTACACCTAATGAATTATGTTTGAAAAAATTATTTGAAGCATTATAATTTGTCAATAATTGTTAATTTATCAACCAAGGTAAAAAAAACAATGAAATATATATTAAAATTAACATACCATTGCAAAATAGATAGCGATTGATAATATTGAAATTTCATATGCTAAAAAACAACATAAAAATTCAGAAAACTGGTAAAAAAAATATTCTAGATTCAAGCTTTCTAAATGACTTAACTTCCCCAACATTGTTGAGCAAATTGATCCAGCACTCATTCTCGCTGTTCAGCTATTGTTTTAAATGCCAAAAATGTTTACTCACACAAAAAACATAGTGACATTATAACAAAATATTTATGAACTCAAATTAATGATGGTTTTGGTAAAATAATAAGATATTTTATTGACTGGAAGAAAGTCTGTAAGTGCATATTTTCACTATAACATGTTGTGATTGCATTTTGCTTTTTTAAAAAAAAAAAAATCATTCTAATTTAAACTGCCATTTTTGGAATTATCTTTTATTAGTGCTCTGAATAACACTCTCTTTCCATTACAGACTATATTGTTAGCTCAGTTTATATTTCTTTAGACTGTTTCAAAACATTAAGAATACATTTAGCCTTACATCTAGATATCTATAATTTAAATGCTTAGCAATATTTTGTATTTGTTGTATGCTGTTTTGTTAAATTTAAAACTAGTTTCTTTACTAATTATATAGTGAAAATAGATCTAATCTTATAATTCATTCTGCTTTACTCCCATCATTACAGTTGAACAATAATTTTGGATGTGATAACATCAATGTGGAAAAGTGCTAACTTGTTTTAATTTTTAAAAAGTTGAAACTCTCTTTTGAAAAGCCATGCCAACTGGTAAAGAGACAACAGACATAAAAATTCGGTCATGGCGTGCTAGTGACACTGAAGCCATATGGTCCATATTAAAAGAAGGGAGTTACAGTAACATAAAATCAACTTTCTGTATCCTCTTGAGAAGAACATCTGTAAGGGGGATAATGCTGTTAGTACTAGGGGTAGGATTATTTCATGGATACTCTCCCTTGGATCTCTTTCTATTAACTCTGCTGTGCGTAGGATTTCTTTACCTTGTTTCATTTCTTGGTGCTGTAGTATATTTATACGGACCATATCTCTCTGATATGTACAATATAGAACAGTACTACTTTAATCAAATCGATCATCATTTCTGGGTTGCAGAGTGTAATGGAGAAATAGCTGGAACTATTGGCATTGTGAGAAAGGTCTCAGAGTCCCAAGAGCCATACAGTGACCACCCAACAGACCAGGCTAACATTGCCTGGCTGCGGAGAATGGTTGTAAAGAAACAATACCGTGGCTTGGGTATAGCCAAGCGGTTGGTGGAGGAGTCCGTGACGTTCTGTCGAAACCGAGGCTATACATTTATTTTCCTCATCACGACAGAAGCCCACCACGCAGCTAGGGCTTTGTATTCTAAAATGGGCTTTGAACTCACAGCTTGTAAACCGTACAGATACTTCAGGGGCTTGGTTGTTATTGAAACATTTGAGTACTCTTTAAGATTGTGAGATGTCATTTATGTTTTTCAAATGTTGTCATTTCAAATAGTCATTGCACGGGTAATTAGTTAACACAATTTTTTTTCTATGTGTAAGGTATAATTTATTATCAAATAGATCCGCGTTCTTCTATTTCTGTATGTAATACTGAACATTAGTAGTTCGTATTGAAATGTACTTAATGTATATAGATTATATATTGTTTTGATTTTTAAATTTTAAAACCTAAAAAATCAGTGTCATGAAATGTATCTATGTTTTTGAGTTTTTTATGGTAGGCTGCAACAGTGCAATTACTATGGGCATGAATCATTCTGTTTACAATTTGTTTATGTATGAAATTAAAGTAAACGATACTCTTTTATTTTCACTTATGACTGAAGCACTTTTACTTGGATATTATAAATCATGAGGCCCACTGTTGTTTCACCTAAACAATAAATAGCGTATTAACCATCTGATTTAGTCTGAAGATTTATTTCAAAACAAAACAACAGTGTGTTACTTTAGCGTGAATTTTTCATGTTACAAAAAATTCATTTTAAATTTAAATCGCAATCAATGCCTGAAAAGGTTCTTTACTTCTACTTATATTACAACATACAGTATCTATAACACAACGTTTCTGAAAAACGTGTGATCTACTCTAGGCACTGTTTTACTACAAGAAGCGACTACCAGACTATACGGTGGTTAAATGTGACACAGCTCTTGTATATCTTAGTTAATCGTGACATTAGTTTATATTCGAGGGCTGTTTACCTAGCACTAGAAGCCATGGTCGATCTCCCTCATACCCTGTTTTACTTCTACCTGGACACGTTTAGTTGCATAACCGTGTTACCTTTCTGAAGACCCTACACATTACACCATTTAATACCGTGCTATAGTGTCACACCGTGTTACATCACTGTAACCATGTTACACCGTATTACATCACTGTAACCGTGTTACACTTCTGAAGGCCCTACACATTACACCACTAAATACCGTGTTATAGTGTCACACCGTATTAATCACTGTAACCATGTTACACCGTATTACATCACTGTAACCATGTTACACTTCTGGAGGCCCTACACATTACACCACTAAATACCGTGTTATAGTGTCACACCGTATTAATCACTGTAACCATGTTACACCGTATTACATCACTGTAACCATGTTACACTTCTGAAGGCCCTACACATTACACCACTAAATACCGTGTTATAGTGTCACACCGTATTAATCACTGTAACCATGTTACACCGTATTACATCACTGTAACCATGTTACACTTCTGAAGGCCCTGCTACTGCACATTACACCACTAAATATCGTGTTACACCATTTTACATCACTGTACACCATGTTCCACCATTGCACAGCATACCACGTCGTTACACCCACACCACCATAAACCATGATACTTCACGCAACATCCCACATATTTTCCTGATTATTTTAGAGAATTAAAAAACTCCATACTGATTCCCATGCTATATCATTACAATTTACATTCTTAGATTAGAACCATTTACTCTCGCTATTTTCTATGTAAAGGGCGGCTATTCACAATCTTTTCTTCCTCTAGAGTCAATGAGCTATAAAACCGCTAAATAGCGCGTTAAGCACAAAGGTTGATCGTCATTAAAGTTTAAAAAAAAAATCCCAGTGAAAAACAGG